CTTTCGCAAAGGCAACAGTTCTGGTACGGCCTTACTTATATACGTATAGTCACAGTTAAAAGAATATACAATATTTTAACTGTGGTATAGTTAACTTCATCATTGCTTCAATTGATAGATGTCAGTGTTAAATTTTGGCACTGTTAGATTTCAACAGAGCATTTGACACTATTGAATTCAAATCAATACTCAATATTTTCTTGTGCTATTGTGTTATTCAAGTATGTGGCCAAACTTCAAGGGACGATTATTCGTGTGATTCTAAGACTAGAAGTTCATATAAACATAGGTCCTGAAATGCTCCGTTTTCAAGATACAGGGTTCTGAAGTTGGGAGTATTCATTGTTGTTTTGCATGATTAACCAGTATGAGCTTCCATGATGGCAAAATTTAGTCTGGCTGGTGACTGAGAAAGTCTCAAAATTACATAAGCTTTTCAATTGTTCAATCTGATAAAAAACTATGACGTAGGCAGCTTTTTTACCATAAATATCGAAAAGGTATCCCCACTGCGACGCCACTGGAATCAGTATTACACCAAAAGAAGCATCTTGTATTGTTAACAAAACCGCCCAGTTTCACTCATATTGGAAAACAGAATTTTGAGTAATAAATAAAAAAACGATTTTTTATTGAAACTTTGACGTCCTCTATCTTGAAAACGAAGCATTTTTGGACCTATGTTTATATGAACTTTTCGTCTCAGAATCACCCGAATAATCACCCCTTGGAGTTTGGCCTCATACTTGAATAACACCTTGTATAGGTTTTTCAGAAACGGCTGTTGGCCTTATTCAAACTTATCTGAACAATCGGAAACAGTGTGTAAAAATTGAATCAAAACATTCCGAATATATGACATTAAACTCGGGGGTGCCACAAGGTTCAATTTTGGGTCCTCTGTGTTACAATAAGTAGGTATTAAACATAGACGAAGGGTTGAATAGATGTTTATTCAGCACCGAAAAATATAACGTCTTACACTTATCTTGAGATATAACAACTGATTAACGTTGACTACACTAACAAATTTTATTTGTTTCAATTTCAGGTTTTTCTCACATCGACAAAATAGACATACAGAGAGTCATGAAATATAGAAAATCGATATTCAATACTCTGTTTTTCTCGAAATATATCATCAATTTGATGAAATCTCTAGAGCAATGTGAAATTTATGTATATGTTGATGACACACAGATTCAACATAAATGTTCTTCGCAATTGGCAGATAATGCTTGTGAAACTATCAATAGGGAACTGGTGACGTTCAAAGTCAGCTTCTGAACATTGTTCACTAATGAATTGTGCTGAATCTGAATTAATGTTATTTGGTTCGATGTTCAACCAGGCTAAACTTCAGTTTGCTATTGATATAGAAATTAATAATGAACCAATCGCTATAGTTGAAGAAGCTAAAAATCTTGACATTCATTTTCTCGGAAAATCAAAATGAATATGTGAAGCATTAGTTCTATCACATTTCAACTTCGCTGACTATAAAAACAGAATCCAAAATTTATATCCTAGACTGATTCATGGTGTGAGAAGCAATCAGATAATATCACATAAATTAACACAGATTAGATGGTTAAGTATGCAAAATAGAAGATTTCATCACCCTGTCACTTTGTAGCACAAAATTGTTTCATTTAAAATTCCTACATATTTGCACCACAAAATATCATTCAGGATTGATGTACAGGGTTATCCATCGAGAAGGCCCACCCCCATATTTTCGTTATACTTTCACTTAGAAAAAAAAATAATATGCGGAAATTCAATGCCGCAATGAGACCTTTCTGAGGTATTCATCAGAGGTTATACAGGGTGATTCCTAAGAGCGTGGCAAACCACAAATCAATTTTTTTAAATGGAACACCCTGTTTTTTATATTTTTTTCGAGATCTGTGATCTTTTGCGATCACAAATATATAGATATACAGTATGTTATCTTTCACTGTTTTTCGTTAATCACAATTTTCCTGGTCCCAGAACAACATTTTGTGTGGGATGGCATCTGTATCGTGCAACTATAGAGTTATCCATGATTGAGAATCTATTCGACTTTCATCTATTGGAGCGCATGGAAAGAAATTCCTACAATGTTCGAAGAACATCGAAAATCGTGCATACCTAGGGAGGATAAGGAGATGTGGTAGGTGTTGAATTTTTTTTTGAACTTTTGGAGGTTATAAGTTCTTGGGAATTCTTCCATTGGCAAAGAATTTCAAAGCTTCGCCGTTACATGTATACATTATGAAATACAAGCAGAAATATCGTGACCACTCATTGAAAATAATCAAAAACTTTTCTAACAATTATTTAATCCTAACGATCATGAATATTATACTGATTGTAACAAATTCAATCTAACAGACAAAATTTAAATTACAGAACTCATATACCTAACTACAAAAATTGCTCAAATTGCTGCCCTTGATGGTCACAGCAAAGCATATACCTTTTTTCCAGATTGATTATTGACTTTGTTATTATTCCCGAGCGCTCCCTATTCAAACAATCAATTTCTCCGATTATCTTATATCTAAGTTCGTTAATATTCTCAGTTGGTTCACAATGAATTTTATTTTTCAAGTAGCCCCAAAAAAAAGTATCTAGTGGCGTCAGATCTGGACTGTTTGCTGGCCATGAAATAATTCTAAACCTCCCAATCCATTCATGGTATTGGGCATTCAGAAACTCTCTCACGTCCCTTGAATTGTGCGGAGGAGCCCCATCTTGCTGCCATATAATATTTTGAGGTAGGTCGGCTTGTCGTAAACAATTTCTTATTTCATTTGTTAGGAAATTGTAGTAAATTCTTCCATTCAGATTGCCATTGTATAGAATGGGCCCAATTATTTTTTGGTCAAAAAGACTACACCAGACGTGTACTGATTTCCTTCCCTGAACTTCAATTTGAGAAATTTTATTGAGATTCTCTGACGCCCAGTGTCTACTATTCTGTCTGTTGAATATTCCCGCTGTTGTGAATGTAGCTTCGTCGGTCCACAATATATTTTAAAAAAAGTTAGGATCTTCTTCTAACCTACCAATCATATACCTACAATAATTTAACCTATTATGTATTTGAGCATCGCTCAATTTTTGCACTGGCATGATTTTATATGCTTTGAATTTATTTGTTTTCAAAGCCCTGTGTATGGTGCCATAGGAACAACCCAGAGTCCGCACAGCACTAGTCAAGGAAAAGTTGGGATTTTCTTGAAAATATAATAAGATATTCAACTCGCGCTCTTCGTTAAACATTTTTTTCTTAGTGGTTAGGTTTCCAGTGGATTCAAGTTTACTGTTCAATTTTTGAAAAGTTCTTCTATTAGGTAAAGCTCGTTCAGGGTATAATCAAGCATATTCTCTCCGAGCTAGAATGTTCATTCAGAAATTATATATTTACCTGATGAATTTTGTAATTGTTTACCCTCTGAAGCGTTTTTGTTATTTTTTATGTATAAAGACATTATATCATATCTTTCTGCGATTGTAAACATTTCGACAAATTACGACACACAAAATAACTAAACAGTTTTCGAACGTATTTTGTGACGGTATCATGAGGACACGACATGTCAAATAGTTTCGGTTTCAAAGCTTACTTGAATCATTTTGATGCCATCACACACACATTTTGGTTCTGGACCACAAAAATTGTAATTAACGAAAAACTGTAAGAGAAAACATACTGTATATTTATATATTTGTGATCGCAAAAGATCACAGATCTCGAAAAAAATATAAAAAACAGGGTGTCCCATTTAAAAAAATTGATTTGTGGTTTGCCACGCTCTTAGGAATCACCCTGTATAACCTCTGATGAATGCCTCAGAAAGGTCTCATTGCGGCTTTAAATTTCCACATATTATTTTTTTTTCTAAGTGAAAGTATAAGGAAAATATGGGGGTGGGCCTTCTCGATGGATAACCCTCTACGATCTGAAGGTTTATTATTCCCACCTGAATTCAAAACTGAAATATACAGGCGATCCTTCACTTACCCGATTTGTCAGTTATATAACTCCGTTCCTAAAAGTATTGAGAACCTCAGCATCACTTGCTTCAGGTTTGAATATAAAATTGAATTATTTGGAACACAAGTCTAGATATTCCTCTACCTTGCAGCCCAAAGAAACTTATGAAAATTGACGAAGATCATCATCCTATTCCTCTCACTTTTTTCTCACTGTCTATTGTCAATCAAAAGCCTACACACCACAAGGGTGTTGAGCGTACGTCAAGACTTCAAGAAATGCAAAACTAGTTATAAATGCATCACAGACATCAAAATATCGAAAGGAGTAAGTAAAACTGTCACAAAAGCATCATCCAGAGTGTAAAATGGATAAAAGTGTAGGAAAAGTCTTCATAAGAAGGTAACGAAGTGTCACACGTACGATGAAAGGACATATAGATGGTGTCGAAAATGAGTCGAATTACTTCAAAGATTCTTCTCGAAATTGTCTCGAAAATGTCCTGCTTGCGAGACGCTTTCATGAGGAGTCCGAGACGTCTCATTGATGTTTCAACTCGGTTTTAACGTTTTCTGGCGGCAAAAAGGGTGGAAAAATCATCACCTGAACGTCACGATGAAGTCTCGCATGCTTGAAAACGTCGAAAAGCGTCTGAAAACCCTCACATCAACACAGAAGTGTTTCACATGAACATGTCACGCATGCCTCTAAATGTGAGAAAGCGTTAAATCAACGTTGAGATTGTGCTAACGCTTTCTTGACGAGTCCGAGTTTTGCATTTATTTCACGCTTTTTGAGTTCTTGTCGTTTTCTGAGCTTTCTTGAGCTCGCATATTCAGAATAGGGAGATTGGTGCACTATATATGACTGTATATTTTACATTCGTTCGAATAAATCAGGTGTAGCTGCACAAGAAGTCAGCAGTCTAGTGACGTAGTATATCTGATAGAATATCTACCTAGATCAAGATTAAAAAACCTTCAACGAATAATATGAAGATAACATTTCACAGGATGTCGCCTTCATAAATCCAGCCAACGTCGTGTTCGTTTATATGCTGGTGAGAGACCTGGTCAAGCCGGACATCGAGTGCGAGCGAGACCTCCAAGCGGTAGTACTCACCTGCCTCTATCTCTCTTACTCCTACATGGGCAACGAGATCTCCTACCCGCTCAAGCCTTTCCTCGTCGAGGACTCCAAAGAGAAGTTCTGGGATAGGTGAGTGATTTCTCTAGAATTTTGGAGATAAAATGCAAGTAGCCACACAACATCTCACATCCGACACCACCAAAACATTACTCCATTTCAACCTTCAAATCTTCATCATCATCAAATCAGTTACAAGAAGTTATACAATTACTTATAATGATAGTGATGATGATGATAATGATGATATTAATAATAATATTAATAATGATAAAAATATCAGTAATAATAATAGTAATTGAGATAATGAAAATAATGATTATAATAATGATAACATTAATAATTATAATAATAATAATTATAATGATATTTACCCACTCAGTATTATCTATTTATGAAGTCATGAAAAATTGAAAAAAAACTATAATTGTGAAGTAAACACAGAATCACGCTTGAACATAGTCAGCACGTGAAGCTGTGAATAAATGTTTGTATAGTGAATAATACATTGGAAAGGTCTAACACTGAATTATTTCGAGAAACAAAGCAATATGAACTTATTCACTATGAAACTATGATAATTCCTCTATCCTCATGATAATATCTTAACCCTGATAAAATTGAAATCCAAAGAAGAAGTCAGAACACCATCTCAGATGTCGAACAGCACTTTATCAGGACTCCTTCATCCATAGAACGGCTAGGCTCTGGAATTCATTGCCTGTGGAAGTATTCCCAACAACATATAATCTCCAAAAGTTCAAGAAAAATTCCAATACCTACCTCCTGTCCCTATCCTCCCTAGGAACGCACGATGTTCTTTGAACATTATAGGGATTCCCTTTCGTGCGCTCCAAGCGATAAAAAATGAAAATAAAAAAAAATTATGAAAGTAGCCTCACCTGTTCTGGAGAAGATCTGTCTGTTCACATGTTGATAGACGCAAACACTTTATAAGTAATCTTTAATAAAAGTCCATGGTATCTCACTGTATAAGTTATAATTTACCATATCCTCTGGTGCGCCCATTCTCAAATCAATAACTCTCTCATCTCTATTTCATGTCGTCTGTTAATTCATGTCGAAGTCATCCTATTATAATAAATTTTATACTTGACACATTCCCGACACCTTTTTTACGCTCGTTTTGTCTGAACGTGTAGCTCTGAGTCGACAATGGTCGAATTTTCTGAATTGTAAACATTTTCTAATATCTATTCAACCATGCTTATGCTGCTTTCCTGACAAAGCTAATCCGCATTTCCTTGCGATCGCCTCATTGTGGAATAATTTTTTTCATGGTATGTATAACTTGTGAACACACTAATATTTTCTCGAACAGGTGAGGCTTCTTCATCTTTCATTATTCGAATATTCTGCCTGACATGGATGCTCAATGTAGTACTTCTTGAAACTGATTTGCTGATGTAGAAGCTTTGAAGCTTCGAAACATGTCCCCTAGATGTTGAAATAAAGTATGGATTTGGTGGAGTTTCATCAACAACGGTTCACAACCAATGGTTGTACAGGGTGATTCACAATAAATGACCCTCCCTCTAGCTCACTCATTTTTGAACCGATTCAGAATTTGAAAGATAATCTTGAATTTTTTTTCAGAATTTTTTTTCCAGTTGCATCAGAAAATACAGGGTGCTTGGAACCAACGATCTACAGAGTACTACTTTGATTTTTTCAAATGGAACACCCTGTATTTCATTGTATTTTTAAATTCTTCCTGAAGAGCTGATTTCATCAATGCATCACACTCGGGGTCTAGCGGTAATGATTACAGAGATATAGGGTGTTCAAAATCGAGATTTTTCAATTATTGGATTTTTTTGGGTCGAAACTATTCATTATCGATCATGAAAAATAGGGTGTTCAATTTGAAAAAATAGTACCCTGTAGATCGTTTGGTCGGAGCACCCTGTATCTTTTGATGTACTTATCGAAAAAAAAAATAACTATATCGAAAATCATTTGAGATGATATTTCATATTTTGAAATCGTTTAAAAAATAACTGAGCTAGAGGGAGGGACATTTATGGTGAATCACCCTGTACCTACATGTACCAGTGGTGGTACAGGGCGATACACCATGCATGCTCCACCCTCTAGCTCACTTATCTCTGAACCGATTACAAAATATGAAAAATCATCTGGAATAATTCTTCAGAATATTATTGCCGCTATATGAGAAAATACAGGGTGCTCGGAAGGAACGATCTACAGGATTCAAGTTGTTTTTTCCAAATAGGAGACCCTGAACTCCATTGCTTTTTCAGATCCTTCCTGGAGATCTGATTTCATCGGATCATCTCATTTGGGGATCTAGCAATAGTTATTTGTTTAACTAGGCAGCAAAGTAGTAGATTGACTGCCGAGGCTGAATTCATAGCCGAGCGTAGCGAGGCTAGGAATCCAGCTAAGGCAGTCAATCTACTTTGCTGCCGAGTTGAACATATAATTTGTTCTCCGATTGTTCATAATGATATATATCTCTTTATTTTTCCTGTAGTGTTCAATTAAAATAAAATTTCATAGAAATCGCAGTTGTTGGAATGGTTGGTTGCTATGGAAATGTCCATAATAATTATAGTTTGACAGTTGTGCGAAAAAATATCGGTATATTCAAATTATTATATAATGGACAGTGATAGCGACCTGAAAGTACTTACACCTCCAGAAATGAGGATATTGGCAAAAAATATAGAGTTGAATTTGTTGCCGGAGAAGTCTCGGATGAAATATGAAGGAAATTATAAATGATTCATGGATTATTAATTTTGCTGATACATATCAATCAGCAAAGTAACCACTTTGCTGCCTAGGCAGGAAAAGTAATACTTTGCTGATTGATATGTGTCAGCAAAATTGATATTTGCTGCCAATCGGAGAAAAAAACTATTTATTACAGAGATATAGAATGTTCAAAATCGAACATTTCCAATTTCAGGATTCTTTTGTGCTGTTTGATCCAGTTATTATTGTCTATCTACTAACTTTGAATTAGAATAATACAAAGTGGTTCAAGATCGAGAATTCACCCTGCAACTGTTCCAAATTATCAAATGTCCGTAGGGATATGGAAGCCATTTTGACCAATAATGAATAGTTCCGACACACAATAGTTATTTATTATACAAGGGAAAAAAGTAGTCGATTTTAGCTCCAGGTTGTGTGAGCTAAAATCTAATATTTTTCCCGTGTATAATACACTATTTTTTTTTGTGACAGAAGGAAGGACGAATCGATATTGAGAAGATATTACATTATTTCGAAATCTGAAAATTATCGACGTGAAATTTCAAGTTTTTAACAGTAGGGACACCTTCGTTTTATAGGCATCTTTATCATTCTTTTGAAGAAATCAAATATTTGATGTCACTTCTGTCAGTTCAAATCTGTGATTTTATTTTGAAAAATTACGAATCCAGTAGTTGTTTAGTAGTATACGAAACCGCGAAGTCGAATGGAAGATAAAAGGACTTGCAGTTCTTTCTCGGAGACGGTATTATTGACTCATTTTTCGGAACTATAGCACAATACAAAAGCCATTAACAGAGTATATATATGTGATATATATCCGGGAAAAAAGTACTCACTTTTTTCCCACGGGAAAAAAGTAATTTATGAAAAGTGACATTTTATAACCTGCCAACAGAGATGAAATGCCAAACTTTTTTCCCGTCACAGAAAAAAATTCTTTATTTGAACACCCTTCATCTCTGTAATCATTTCCGCTAGAACCCAAGAGTGGTGTATTGATGAAATCAGTTCTTCAAGGAGAATCTAGAAATACAATGGAATACAGAGTGTCATCGGAAAAAGTCAACTACTACCCTGTAGATCGTTTGTTCCAACAACCCTATATTTTCTGATGTAGCGATACTAGCGATAAACAAATTTCGGAAGATTTTCCAAATTTTGAAATCGATTGATGAATAACGTAGCTAGAGGAGGGACATTAATGGTGAATCACCCTGTACATAATATTATAATTTGCGGTGGTAACAAACACAGACCCGCATCATCAGAATAGACCTGGAATAAGTACCACATGGAATGAAACATGCAAAATATATTGCCAAACTAAAAAAATCGAGAACAAAAGAAGAAATAGGAGTATTAGCAAAACTAGTGATCTAGTAGAATAATACAGTATGTGAATCAAAACCAACTAAGTTACCATGATACTAGTCGCTCCTCAAGGCGACCTCGTCTCTCAAGACATCCCTGAGGACCAGTTTTCTATTTATAGTCGTGATATGAGCTCCAAGGAAGCCTCAAGGAAATGTTAATTCCAAGGAAGGTAAAAAGGTACCTTGATCCAATTCCTAGTGGAAATTCCAGGTTATGTTATGAATGTATATAGATAAATCGATATATTATGGATGAAAATCTCAATACCAATATGTCAATTCTCAATGTCGGAGGATTTTTTTTTTTATTTTTCATGTTCTCCTTTTGAATGTTCATCAGATAGTATTCAATGTTCGACGTGGCAAATAGCCAGGAAAGTAGTTGTTTTCTGTTGAATATTCCGAATGATGTGTGCATATACATATTTTTGTCTGAAGAAGAATGCAAATTCTCAATTTCAGAAGTTTTCTATATTTTATTTTCAAACTCTTATCGTGTGTGTTCAATAGATATAATTCAATGTTCGTCGTGGCATATAGCCAGTGTTAAATCCAATAAATAGTCCAGAATTGTATAAAATGAATGAAAAAGATCGGATTCTATGTATATATCTCCTACAGTATCAGAAAGCAGACATTCCAATGAACGAATAAGAGCCCATTGGCTTTCTCGAAAAAGTCAAGATGAGGTAAAAAACTAAACAATATATCAAATTCAACGATTACAGTGTATAGTCTCTCCATCACCTTCGACTTTGCAACCTATTTCTCTTTCTTACATAGGAATTGTAGCTTTGCGAGAAATTATGATTAACCGTTAACAGCTCACCTTCTTCCACTGCCTGACCTCAGGTCGACCGTAATTTATTTCTTATCTCATTTTGGTTTTATTCTCATCATTATTATATCGGTTTTATTCTACGTTGATTTTTTCTTCATAAAATATTGTCGACCCTGGTCGACTTTCATTATCTCGCCTGAAAAACTGAAATTCTGATAACCCCTTCGCAGGTGTTTGGACATCGTCGACCGACTATCTTCCAGCATGCTGAAAATCAACGCTGAGCCCGGCTACTTCACCGAGATCTTCACCGAGCTGAAGGCCTGCGGCATCGGCAACATCGTCGCCGGCAACATGGCAACGATGGCCAGCCAGACCGTGCCAGTGTTGCCATGCCGCGCTGGCTCGACGACCCCCGCTTGACGCAGAAGGGAAGTGACCGTAGTGAAATTGAGTCTGGCAGAGATGCCCACGGTACCTTGCGAAGTATGAGTAGGTACCCCGTATCTTCCATTAGGTCGAATTGGTTTTCGGTAGACGGATTTGTCATTAGGTGATGTGCCAAAATATGCGCTGGGGTGAGTCCATTTGAATCGGGTGATCGAACGGAAAGTTTATCAGCATAATAGAGAAAAGGAAAGACATGTCGATTTTGAGTTGAGGAGGTGTGTTCTTTCCATAACTCCAAGACTTGAACATTTATAGCTTGTCACTCATATGGAATACGCGCTAAAACAGTAGCTTCTTCAGGTGATATACTGATACAATAAATTGAACTAACATTGGCATGCCTAACTTTCATATCCTACTTTCCCAACCTGAATGATTGGAATTACCTGCGCAGAGGTCCGACAAACCTTCATTTGCCGAAAGTAGGCGCAATATCAAAATATCGAAATACATTGTATCGGATTCACTTGCAAGGGTTGATAGAGAATACATATTTTAGACATACAAACTTCAGACATTCTGTCGATATGTCTCAAACAAATCTACTTTCAATTCGACAACACAATATATTCCGCAATTTTCCTGGATAACTTGAAGCAAATAATAAATGAAAATCCTGATGAAACAGTTTTTGTATTGATATAGGTACGTAGATGACGTTATAGATGCTTCAAACGAACTGATAAAAAATTAGAAACTTTTCACCAATATTCAAATACGATTCATCCAAATATAAAATTCAAAATGGAAATCGAAACAGAAAAGTATATCAATTTTTAAGATTTGACAATAAGTGAAATTATCAATGATGATCATTACTTTTGAATTTCACATAAACCTTTCCACACTGATATCACTCATCATAATAATTCAACACACTCCTATCAATATGAAATTGCAGCATATAATAGTATGATACACAAGCTAGTGAATGTTCCTGTTCCATAAATAAATTTTAATAAAGAACTGGATATCATGAAAGAGATTGCAGTCAACAACGGATATAACAATAATTTGATAGACAGTATCATTCCTAAAATACTCCATGATAAGTTTATCCCACTATCAAAAACAGTGATTAAAACTGTAGGATTTCAACCTATCCCGGATCATCAACTAAAAATTCAACTTCTAAATGAAGAGAACTCCAAAGTTGCCTATTGAATAAATAACACGTTGGGAAGATTCATCAAGAATAATAAAGACAAACCTTCTGAATTTGAAGAATCAAGGGTATACAAACTTAACTGTGGATTTTGTCCTAAGGTGTCAGACAGATTGAACGTTTATTCAGCGCATTCATGAATATGAGATGGATTTCTTGAAGAAGACCATAGTTTCGATGATAATTTCTGAATCCTACACATGTAAAGGAATAACTATCATTCTAATCTCTCAGGTTGGGAGAGGAAGATATAAAAGTTAGGCAAGCAAATGTAAGTTCGGTTCATTGTATCAGTATATCACCTGAAGAAACTACTATATTCGTTCGATCTCACGTTTAGGATTTCAAAAGATGGTTAACTTTCAACACAATAATCGTTTGGAGAATGATCCTTGATGGAATTAGAAGGTTGCATGTCCGCACTTGAGCAAAAGTGGTATCTCAAACTACCGCCATTCAAAATATCCTGAATTGCTATTCCAGAATATTCATTTTTTCATATAATCATTCTCAGAGTTCAGAGTAAGTCTATTTTGAATTTGATGGTTCATATGAATACTGAACAGGTCCTATTCAGACACACTAGAATACACCATGATTCGATTCAACTGTTGCAAAAAGATCCAAGGGATGGGCCAATAATTTATGTCAGTCAACGAATACTGATTTCTTCCAAAAAAATATGGAGGTATTACCGATATAAAGAATTAGGATAGCACTTCAGGGATATGAATTATGATAATAATAATTCTGATTTTTAACTACAGTTTGTAAGTCTTCACCAAATATCTAATATTTGGTTTTGTTTCAAAAATCAGATGTCAGTAATGACAAACGGCGTTAAACCCCTAGAATAGTTATTTCTGAAGGTGTCACAAGAATTGGAATGTTAAATGTCAAACGCCAAACATTTTCATATTCAATTCAAAATGAAAAGTTGAAAAAACTGTTACTCATATAATACATTTTATATCAGTTTGAAGAAACTGTTACTCATATACTTCATTTTTTATCAGACTGTTCTACACAAGGAAAGTAAAATGGCATTTTTTGATCAAATTTGTTTCCTCATAACTTTGGACTCACTCAAAAATGTTCATTTCATTGCCTAACGAGCTGATGAAAATAAATATTGTATCTATCTTCTACAGGATGATAATCAAAACGGTGCGATATCACAGAATCCATTGCGCATGCTTGTTACAAAGGTACAAACCAATCTGGAAAGTTACTTTTCAATCCCTCATGATTGCATTTGAACCCGTTCTTCATAATTTCCAAGTTTTCCAAGGAGGCTAATTAATTCTCTCAATTCTATGCTTCTTCAAAATTTTAGTGACAATACACTTTAGACATGTCAGTAGAGTCCAAATGATAGACATTGATAAACAAAAAACACAAGTATGTATGTGAGTATAATGATGAATGATGGAAGCTGTACATAAATTACCACGAGTTTTCAATTCCCCTTTTTCAAAGCACACTGTAACAATGAATATGTCGATTATGCATATTTTCGAGATTGTTGGCCACTGATCGAACCAGAATGTCAGCAAGAATGCACATGCAATATAATGATTCGAACATCGAATCGTATGCATTTATTTTCGATATTCATATTTCAGTGACGAGTATGTGACAATTCCCGAAATTCTCAATCTGTTCCGATATGTTTTTCACCTTAGAAAGAATCAGAAGAGACATATCTCCAAGCGGAAGGCCTTCGAAATCTTCAAGAAATTGCACAGCTTCCATTATCATTTTGTTGAATCTTGTTCTGGAGAGATGCAATATCAATTTTCATAGATACGATAGTCAATGAAACAAACATTCAGAAACTAAAATGGAATGGAAAATTAGTTGTGGCGACGAAAATTATCATTGATCAATAGTGATCAAAACATTTCGAACAATTCCAGGAAAATGACATCCTCTCAGCGAATATTAACATAAAAAATGTTTGAGTTCACTAACTTTTGAATCTTGAAGACATCCTGCTCATGAAAATCGACGAGTCTTGCCGTACCAATGTTCATTCACGGAAATCAGATACCTAAAGTTTCCGTTCTATTCCCGATATTTCATAATTCCCCTCAAGATAATGTGAAGTTAGATGAGTTAAAAATTGATTGTTATAATAAATTCAAGAACTTGTGTGGAATTATATAAAATGAAATGGACCTCATGTATATATCGTGTATTTTCGACAGTCAGGGCTTTGAGAGATGACAAATTTGTGGACTGAATTTTTTACAATGAACATGAAAGCGATGTTTGCCATTGAGTGATATCATGATCTGACTAGAAGTGAACTCTATTCAGAGTACTTGCCACTTTCAGAATATTATATTATGCACAATATTTAGGTTAAAACCATTTATCGCGCCAATGATTTGCCAGAAGTACTTACTGATCAACCTCTGACAGATACCTCAACCTCTTTTTCATCATTGAAAAGGAATTATCTTTGATATATTTATGAACACGAGAAAATGGAAATGTGAATAAAGAAATACATCGAGAATTCGCATCCTCCATGTGATGAAGATACCGATTCTCTCTCAGTTTATTCAACAAAAAACAACTACTTTCCTGGCTATATGCCACGACGAATATTGAATTACATCTATTGAACAGATACGATGAGAATTTGAAAACAAAATCGTCTGAAGTATAGAATTTGCATTCTCCTTTATATAAAGATATGAATATAATATCATTCTGAATATTCAACAGAAAATAACTACTCTCCTGGCTATTTGCCACGTCGAACATTGAATTATATCTATTGAATATTCAGAAAGAGAGCATGAAAAATCAAAATCCTCTGAAATTGAGAATTGTCATCATCTCTCAAATCGAATGGAATAATATGATGTATCATGATATTAAAATATAAGTTACCAATATGTTCAGTATTGAGATGAAAATTGAAATGTATTATATCTCACACAAACAAGTTATATGACTTTACTCATTTCGGATTTCATATCATCATCAGTAACCTGAAGTCCAGTTATTCTTTCAGCCATCCTCCATAATATACACAATCTTCATCTCCCTATAATATTACTCAAACTATAACGAACTGACATCTGAGAAGTATTATTATTTGTTGACATACTCCTGTCATCTTGTAAGTTATTTTTTTAAATCATAATACATCATATTATTATCAGGTTACTTATGATGATATGAAATCCGAAATGAGTTTAGTCATATAACTTGTTTGTGTGAGATATAATTCATTTCAATTTTCATTTCAATACTGAACATATTGGTAACTTATATTCTTATATCATGATACATTATATTATTCAATTCGATTTGAGAGATAATGGCAATTCTCTATTTCAGAAGATTTTGATTTTTCATGCTCTCTTCTTGGATATTCAACAGATATAATTCAATGTTCGACGTGGCAAATAGCCAGGAAAGTAGTTGTTTTCTGTTGAATATTCAGAATGATATTATATGCATATCTGTATATGAAGGAGAATGCAAATTCTCTACTTCAGAAGATTTTGTTTTCAAATTCTTATCGTGTGTGTTCAATAGATGTAATTCAATTTTCGTCGTGGCATATAGCTAGGAAAATAGTTTAGTTTCCTGTTGAAGGAACCGAAGAAGAAGTAATATTTTCATCACATGGAGAATTCGAATTCTCAATGTATTTCTTTATTTATATATTTATATATATACATTTTTTCGTGTTCATTGATATATCTGAGAATATTCCTTCTAAATACGTTCACCCAATCAAAGGGTTCAAACTTGAACGATGGAAACTTGTTATTTTTATAGACCTCAATCGCAGATTCGTGATTGGGTTTTCTCAATTCAGAATTTCTTTCCACGTCCTGTATGATGAATGTCAATTTATCATACGTCCAAAACTCTTCTTTATTGTGTCTATAGAACGATCGAGAATCAAATGTTGCAATACCATACTGGGTGTTTGGA